TTTTTTTTTTTTTTTTTTTTTTTTTTTTTTTTTTTTAGAGCAGGTCTGTGATTTAGATTTATCCTCACAGTTCTAAATTCCTGATGTTTCACTGAAAACTGTCAAAATGTAGAATAACTACAATCAGTTGATCAATTAAAAAATCATTTCGTGGCTCCATTTTTAATTTGACAAAGAGACACATAAGGTTTTAGTTGGACCATAGTGGAGCATTTTTTTGTCAAGCGACAGTTACAGACACATACATAAATGTACAATGTGTCAGCCAAACTGTGTCTATTTTCAAATGGTGGAAAAGTGGTTAGTCAGTTAGTCCAATACCATTCTCAGTATCAGTATCAGGCCTGATACTGATACTTCATTAGAGCAAGCTGCTTCTGACCCTGAAAACATTGAGCTGTGAAAAGAAGTGAATGAATGAACTTTCAGAAACTGCTAATCTTTTGTTAAAGCATAAAAATAGAAGAAAATCAGGACAGAGGGCCGCATCACTGCTGTGCAGTTCCATTTACTTTACCTCCAGAGATAATAAAAAAAAACAGTGGTCTTAATTGTAGGAAACAACAGTGATAATATTCTGTAGAAATCTGGGTTTAATTACATTGCCATTTAAACAAAAGCTGCTGTTTTGGAGTAAATCAATTTGTTAAAATGCAGTGCATTTGTATGAGACTTAATATCACAGGAGGAGGAATTAACCCTCAGGAACATTTTTAAAATTTCCGCCAATGCAAATAAAGCTTTGGACATGCCTTAATTGAAGGATTAGTCAAATGACACAAAACTAATTCTGAACTCCATTTCAGATCATTCTTCAAGCTGAATGCAAGTCTACTGCATTTAATTTTACTCTTCTATAACAAGAACTAAAATAAACGTGTATTTACGGGGCTGATGGTTTGTAGACAGAAAAACATAAATGACAGATAATTGAGGAAAATTCCAAATCCTTTTTAGTCCAGACAATATTCATTTTCTGTTAGGAGAAATAAGAAGAGACAAATTCAAACCCATTTTCCTGCAGTGGTTTATTAATTTTTATTTGAATATTCAGTCTCCAGCAAGGCAGCAGCTCTTGTTAAAGATGAAGGCTGTTGAACTGACAGCAGGCTGTGAGCCCAGAATGGCAGCCAAACAGCACAACACTGTTCCTCCACACAGGACCCACACAGCAGGCATCTGCCTCCATGAAGCAGCTCTGAGACGCTTTTCTATGTCCAACCTCCGACCTCTGACAGTCGTCGACAATTACTTGCTCGTAGAATTAGGTTTGCATTAGCACTACTGTGAATCAGAGTTGTGGCTGCTCAGTGAAGCTCTCCGACCTGGTACAGCTCCTGTTACTCAGCTGCAGTGGACAGGATCACTCGCTTTTTGAGAATTTTTTCAGAGACTCTGTAAGTAAGAGGTTTAACAGGGATGCCGCCCACACCACTAAATGTAGCACTCGTGTTTCACCTGACAGCCATCCTAATCTTCATGCCATATAGCCTGTGAAATGAGCAAGGTGGAAACAAGAAAGGAGAGGAAGGAAGACTTAACATCGCCCTCAGGTCCCACACTATCTGTCCTTTCCATGAGCAGGCAGATGGAAGATGGGTGAGGCGGAAACAGAATTGTCTCTTCACTACAAAGGCACACCAGACCTATTTTAAAGGTCAGTTGTGCGTCTCGGCACTTGTGGTATCGTCAGATATTCTAAATGTGCCTCATGTTGGATTATTTCTAGTGATTTCAATGCTTTGAACAGGATTATGGGAGTAAACAAGCATCGACTGGGTTTTACTTTGTAATTGAACAGTATTACTACCATAAAATAATCCTTACTGTAGTAGTGCTTCTTAACCAAACTGCTAGGCTCACACAGTAACACATTAACTGCTAAAGGAAAAGTCTGGAGTTTTAATTTGTTTTGTGATCCCTCAATGAGCAGCTGGACTTATTGCTACTATTTAAAATCATTTATCAAAGCAGAGGAGTGTGGTATCGTTACAACTGTAACATCAGATCTTAGTTTTTCAGTTAAAATCACACCATACATAGTAAAATATATATAACTTGCATAAAAGTAAACATAATAGACTTTTTTTCTGCAAAGGTAAAAAAAATATTTTTTCTATTTAAAACAAAAAATATGAAGAAAAAATTGCGAAATTATTTTTTACAAAACATTTTAAAGATTACTGCTCAATTTTCGTCATTTGGTCACTGTATGAATTGCCAAATTTCTACGGCAAATTAATGAACACGATGAGGACAGAGACATTTACTAAAGCTGCTATAAATGGCTTTGTCAGACGGCGTAGTCGAAACATCTACCTGACTATGAGATAAGATAAACAGTAATACACATTTAGCTACCACTTAAATGTTGATGCTAGGCATTTTCTTTTATGTTATTTGTTTGAATAGTCACGCAGTCTAACATAATAGCCAGACAATGGAAATGAACAGTTGTGAATTGAATGAACTAAATGATTCACACTTTTCTCTACCAACTGATGATCTGACAGTAAAATCACTGTGACAGTAATGACTATTTCCCAGCATCCCCTGACATCTCATTGGGAATCTCACCTCAACTTTGTGGGACCAGACTTTGGAGGGTTCCTTGAAACTAAGAAGTATCTGTACTTTGTATATTTCTGTATCTGCATATTTACTGCATACATTACTGTCATGGGAGTCAAACCTGCAGCTTGACACAATGTAAGAATATTTAGGGTAAAGTTACTTGTGCTCCAGCTGCCTCACAGGTTTTTGTCTTAAAAAAAGAAGCTGCCTGTGAGCAGTGTCGGACCTTGTTCTGCTCTGAAATCTGGACTCTGCAGAGGCGGTGCATTATCCTCCACTCAAACTCAGGCCACAGGGGCCACAAGGGCTGTGCCCCGTCATATGGACAGGTCACTCGACTTCATTGCCCTCACTTGATTATTGGAGCTTTTTCTGCAGTCAATCCTCATTCATATAAAAGAACCAGGTGAGGTTCAGAAACTCGTCCCATTATTATTCATCCGCTTTCCCAGCCCTGGTCAAAACCTGATCTGACCTGGAGGCAAACCCAGACACAGGGAGGTGTCACTCTCAAGCTAAACATGTGGGGAGGGGCAGAGAAGTGCACCAGCTCTGAAAACTAGTTGAATGTAAACTTTATTTTTAAAAAGTTATTTGTATGTTGTTGGGGTTTGTTTTTTTTACCGTGGAAAAGAGTGACATTTTATTAATTATATTCTCTAAGTTTATTTTAAATAACATTAGAAATTATGTTTGCAATTTATACTATGAAAAAATCTGAAGTTGGTTTGATGATGTACAGACAATTTTGGCTTGTACAAATTAAATAGTTAGGTTAAACAGATGCTCCAATTTTTTTAATCCAATCTTGATACTTAAATCTGTCAATCTGCAATTTAAGTGACCGAGTATGTGACTTGCTTTACCTTGTTTGAGTTCCTCTCTTTAAAATTTTAGGGGGATGGGGCAGGTGTTGAAGGGTTTAATGGCATTTCTTATCCTTGAACAATTTTTTTTTTTTGCACGGCAGCCATGGTTATTTGTCCATGCTTATAAAATGTTGAGGACAGAATGCAGGACTATACTGTAGTTTATTTATTTGTGACTGGCTGAATGATATCCTTTAATTCCAGCCTTGAATTTCAACTCAGATGTGTTTCTTCATCAGTAGTGGGCAAGTTGTAATTGATGTGCGTGGCACTGGTGCCGTGGTAGTGAACGTTTCTCCTCCAGGACAGAGGCGAGGAGGATGCAGAATGCGAGTCTCGCTGATGGTGAAAACAGAGGCAGCGAAGGCTTGTGAAGCAGCTGTGGCCAGAGGTCGAAAGTCGTGTTTCTATCCAGGCAAAGCCAGACTCTACACATGTGGACCATTTCAATAGTTGGCTTACTTTTCAAAAGATTGACTTTCCTACGCGATTCTTGAGCATCTGTAAATGTAATTACTTCACATGCGGAAATTCCAGAATGTCAGTGATTCCCTGGATTACAGAGCATTGTCTCATGGACACCCAAACATGTAGGGACGTAAATATGCATTTTTTAACACTTTTTGAATTTTTTTGCCTTCTAATATTAAGGAACTTGTAAACTAAAATCATAATTTTAAATGGTTGTTTTGTATTCCTCTTTTTTTATTTGTCAGAGAAGGGAAGGAATGAGAGCTGTAGGGAATCATTGCTTTTCAGAATCTAAGAAGTGAGATTGTCATACCAGCCGGATGGCCGTGTGGTGTTTGTTTAGGGAGAGAAAGGGGGGAAAAAAAACAGTCCAAGCGATTGAATCATATCTTCTTACCAATACGTCCTTGTGTTCCAACCTCCATCATTACAGCAACATGTTTTATTTTCAGCAGTGCTGTTCTCAGTGACTCACATTGCAGAGCCATGTGCTGCTCAGTTAGGCCTCAGATCCCTCAAACATGTACGGAGCGGTCATGAGAAATGCCCTCTAACTGCACTAGAGTCTACACTTAGACCGCACTAAATATATGCCGGGGTATTGTTAGTTTTGCAGACATGCATTGAATATGTGAGGTTTGGCTTCCCTCAAAGTTTCTGCAGGAAAATCATCTAACAGCCTCAAAACAAACATGTTTTTCACTTATATTTCCTCTGAAAATCAATGCATTTTCATCTGTGTCATTTTTTTCCACAGCCAGTTGGAATCTTCAGGTCTTTGTCACCAGGTTCAACTTTGGAAGTCCTGTGGCTGCTCTGCAGTATCTCACACAACACTACAAAGACTGAAACACCCAAAGATGTCAAAGATGAAATGTGCCTTTTTAATAATGCCAAATAATCTCCTCTCTTCTGTACAATACCAGTAAAGCAACAACAGTTCTTCAAAGCTTACTATAAACCATGCCTTCTTGCCCTTTATCTTATCACTAGAGTTAGAGTTTGTGTTAAACCAGCTGCCAGGGTCTGATGCTGCCCCTGTGTCTGTCACATGGTCCCCAGGGAGCAGATTGGGAGTTAGATTTTGACCTCACAGGGGGATTTTCTTATTAGTTTCCAAACACCATTAACTAGAAAGGAAGACAGTCTGATATCACAAATTCAGTGTGGAAAGAGTTGATTCTAAATCAGGGGCGGAAACAACGTCAGGGCCAAAAAAAGGAAGTGGGAGGTGAAACCAAGACCTCAACGCAGCCGGATGCTGCAGTGGAACTTGAACCAAAATACTCTTCAGAGTAACAGAAGGGGGAGGGGCCATTGGGCCTGTGGTGTGTTGGGTAAAGGGAACTTACTGTTTGTGCAATTGTTTTTCATATTTCCATTGACCACTTTCACCCTGATTGGAAACAATGAGCTTCTTTTAGATCATTTATCGATTTTTTTTTTCAGAAGTTAAAAACACTTCTGTGTAAATGTTGTAAGTGTCCTTGAGTGTAACACTGGAGTGATGAACCTGTTTTGAACTTTGGACAGTTGCATAAGATCTCCACCTGCTCAGTCTGTGGAGAATGGTGTGTAAACTTCAACTTTTCAACCCTCTCACGAGGAGATACTTTTCAGACTTGATGTGTCTTTGTGCAGGGTGGGTCAGAGTACCCCCCAGGAGGCATATTGGTTTCTAACCAGCAACTCTCCTCTGAGAGTGGTTTGTATCAATAGCCCAGATGTCTGAAAAAGGCTGGATTTACATCAGGGACTTTGATGTTCTGATGATCAATCTTTAGTTGCTGGTTTCATTGACCCTAATTTGGTGTCTCATCAGTGGTCTAGGCTGGAGTAGGTAATGGAGGGGTTTTTTGTTCCTTTGGTGGTTAAGCCAGCCTTGGTAAAACCGCTCAGGTGCCCTCTCCGTGAACTCTGGGAGATCATCGATCACATCGTCCTGCATCTGCTTTGTTTGCCTGCCCGACTAATAACAAAAAAGTAGCAAAGCAACGGGCTCCAGACAAACAAAAACAATGCTCGTACACTCATTCAGTCTTAGAGATCACTGCTTCAGAACAAAAGTAATTGTCAGTTGGAAATATGCTAAATATTGACCTGGATTTATCCACTTTTTTCTGATCACATTTTTAACCATTGGCAAGTGGAGGATAATTCCACACACTCATTGTGGAGTATGCCAAGTGTGAGAGCATTCTTCCAAAAAACCACCTACTTGAATCCACCAGTACACCCTTTAGGAGCCAAAATGTGTTCTTCCAGATACACTGTGCATTTTTACCTTCTTTATATCTTGGAGCTATCCTGCCAAAACAGCTGTGTTTTGCCACTCACCTTCCTCGAACGTGTTTATTTTTACTCTAAATGTCAGGAGAGTTGAAATATTATGATTAAGAAAAACTGACAGCTGTAGTTCAGCGCAGCGCTGCACTTTATTGCCTCCAATGAAAAAAAGATAATATTACTTTCTCACATCCCTTGATGATATGGCAAAGGCATTTAATATTTTCTTAATTTATTCAATCTCACATTAATTAATTGTTTCGAGTTCCCTTATGTACTGTGCATTTGCTGCTTGAAGGATTATTTTTGAATAATAACACCTTCTTTTTTTTTTTAGTTGCAGCAAAACTGACACCTGGTGTGTGCGTGCAACCTTCCCAGGCCTTGTTTGGACTATTGCCGATAAATAGCAGTGTAGTTTCCATCTGATTTGGACTTGGAAATGGAACTGGTATTTGCTCTACTGCTAGCAGTCACAACTGGTGGGTTCATGTTAGACACAGAGTATATATATATATATATAATCATTTTCTGGGAGAAGCAGCAGTGATTGACTTTGGGGTGGCATCTCTTCAGTCCGCTAATCACTTTGTGTCTTTGACTAAATCGCATGGGCGCAACTCTGCATGTCTTATGTAATCTGCGTTGTTTGGAACTAAATAACTTTCCATTTATTTACATTAGAAAATAAAAGTGTCAACAAAATTGTCTTGCACTTTGTTTGTTTTTGTTTATGATCATCTAGAATAATTGAAAATTGTCAGAAACACATTGTTGCCACTTTATTCATGTACACTGTGCTACTGCTCTTATGGCACATGTTTTATTGGTGACTAGTGAACCATGGATCTTGTTGTGAAGGTGTTGCACATGGGGCAGGATAGACCCTGGATAGTGCACTAGTCCATATCAGCATCACATCTAACGCCAAATTACAGTTCCTGTATGTTTTTAGACTGTGGGTGGAGTTCCCAGGGAGAACCTTTCAAACTCCATACTCCTGCCTTGTTATGCAAGAACACCAAACACTCTTCCACCACGTGGCTTTTCAAAAATATATTTTAATAATAAAAAAAACCAAAGAAGGTGTCAAAGAAGTCAAAGAAGACAAAACACTGCCTGTCATGTGATCTAGCCGTCACACCAGGAAATTACCCTGTTACAGGTAAGTAGACGTTGCACATGTGTTGGTCAACTTTCCAACCACAAAGCCACACACGCTGCCCTTGAGGTGAGACTGTAACGTTCATTCAGTTCACAATATCCACTGTGAGGATCTTTTAATAGGGTTGTTACCAGAAATACATTTCACATAGTTTGAATACTGGGTCTATTTCCAGGGGAGAAAAGAGGAAGATAAGATTAAATTAGTAGTATTTTTTCCAGTGACTTACAACTGAAGTAGTTTGCATATGCTGTGTGTATTGATGTTTTGTTTTTTTTTCTTTTTGGACAGTTTCAGTTACAGTTAAGAATGTTGTGCAAACAAAATGTAAATCAGACAAGCCTGGTTGGCATCAAATCACACCTGTGAGCTTGCTTCTTCATTTAGAAGGCTACGTAAACATTAACAAGTTGTCTTTTCCATGTCGTGGCTGATTAGTTGTTACTGCATTACCAGTTAGCAGTTAAATTCCTGTGCCTAATAAAGTGTCCAGTGTTTATCAATTCCCTTTAGTTAGAGCTGTGTTTAACTCTTTAACACTAACACTAAACAGACAAATTTCACTGGTGTTGCCTTCTGAACCACAAAAAGTGATGCAGAGAACCAATTTAGACCACTGTGAGTCAGCGTGAGACAGAGGAGGAAGTCAGAACAAAAACACATAGTGTATACACAAAAGTAGAACAGAATTGTTGCTGAACTAAGAAAACCAGGCCTGTCGATGGTCACAGGTTTCTACTTTCTTGAGCAAAGACTGCGATGGAGACACATTGAGAGGACTCAGATGTACACATGGACACCGTGTCTCTGGTAGTGAGTGAGACACAGGATCATCGCCTGCTCTGTTTGTGTAAGGCCTCTAAACACTGAGCATGATTCTGACTAATTCTCCCACACACTCTGTTTACACTTCTGATTCATCGAGGTGCTGTTAATTTCTCAGGTCTGAGTACTCAGGCTCTGACATTTCATTCTGTTTTTTGTATATTTGTTTTTTCTGTGGATTTTGCAAATCATGATCTACATTGTTGTCATCCTGGGACAATTATAGCACTAGTTATTTTGAACACAATAATCTAGACCTCACATTTGTAACCATCCACTGCTCTGTAGCCTGCGATGCATTCACATCTGCAGGTCAGAGAGTTTACTATATGAGAACATACATTTGTGCATAAAGACGACAGTAAATATGCTGCACAGATTAACTTTCTTCAATTCAATATGTGGTGTTAAAAGTAGCAGAATTTTTCAGACGTTGTTAAACACATGCAGCAATGATGTCAGGGAGAATAAAAATGAATTTCTTTAAAATAAAACATCTAATTTTAACAGTAATCCTAGTTTTGGTCTCTCATTGTTTCCACTGATGATCCCTAGATCAGGTTCTGTTGTACTGATTGTTTTGATTTGTTACTGTAGGTCATTGGATAAAAACTCAAATGCCTGTTGTGTTTTAAGGGATTTTCAACAGTACAAAAATGTTTTAAATAAAGTGTATGTGCCTTGTTGGCATTTATAACTCAAACAGGAGGAAGGTAATTTCCTCCAGACCGTGAAGGCCACCATAGTTTACTGATGTGTTTGGGAAGGGGAGTGGTCAGTCCAGGAGTCCTCTGCTATTTTTTTTTTTTATTATTAATCCATAATCCGCAGTCTCACCATTAGACGTCACTAACTATTACACACATAGCCTTTAGATTGTAGTGAACAAAGTTGGGTTGTAATCGTTTTTGCTTGTTGTTTAAGTTGTTTAATATGCTGTTTATTTATGTGCTTAAATATCAAGAAATGCGTGGGGGAAAAATATCTCCTGTCAGTGATATTTTTCTTTGACAAACTAAAAGAAAACTTGAAACCTAATATTCTGGCCACCAGGGAAGATATTTTCTTCACAAGTTGGCAAACTGTTGAAAATGGAGCCATGACGCTTTGTCCATTGCCACCCCTCTTTTAAAAAGAGATGCAGAAGAAGAAGAAAAAAACCCTTTGTGGCTTCCGATCACTTTTCCACTACTATACTTCACCCGGAACTCCCATGGCCATATATGGAGGGCTAAGGGGGCGGGGCCGGACACTACCTTATATGGAGCTTCCACATGAAAGCTCACTGGTGGAGTCCAAGTCAATGTAAGCCAGTGGATTTACAAGGATTTTGTAATATTTACATGTGGTTAAGTCTGTCAAGTGGTGTCTGTCGTATTGTTGCTGCATGAAGAGAGGGTTTGTGTTACTGAGCAGTTCTTCTTTAACAACAGAAGTGTGTTTATGTTCCACCAGAACACACAGAAGGACTTCTACCTTCATAATTAGGGGACAAGTTCTTCATTTTATTTTAAGCATTTAAATCATATAGATTGCATAGCATAAAGCCATCTACTTAATGGGATTGCATTATATGAATGCCTACTTCGGTCTCTAAGATGTTTACATTGATCAAGTATTTCCCATTTATCTATTTGTGTATTTTCTTTAATCTGATGCAGATAAGTCATTTTGTGATTAAAATAAATCACTAGAACTGTGTGACAGTGAGCTGGACACACTACAATCTCTGATCTATAGTATCTAATATTGACAGTGATTGACAGTGATAATCTTGGTCTTTGAGTAATTCACTGAAATATTATGGCTGCAGCAGAAACAAATGAGCTCCTTAGGACTGTATCAGAACATGCTACACAATAATACATCTCCATTCATAACAATTATATTTTTAGTACAAGTTACCACAATCAACTTTAATTAATCAATTAAGCTTAATAATTGAGCAATTTCTCACAATCTCCTGCCCTACCTTATGGTACACTCTGTGACAGTTTTGTGAGTCCAGACCAAGTCTTGGTCTCAGGAAATGGTTGGCCTGAAAAAAGAAATCACAGAGTCAGTATGTTAATGAGCTAGTCTGTTTTTTTGTTTGTTTGTTTGTTTGTTTGTTTGTTTGTTTTTTATAAACCCCTTTAATCTCCATTTTTTATATTCATCATGATTAAAAAAGTTCACCACAGTTCAGTGAGATGGCTTCGTTTTTTAATTGCTTCATTTCTTTATTTATTAGTCTAAAAATAAATGTCTACTGCTGAGCCATGTCTGGGTCTCAACTCAGTTGTTGAGAAGGACTGGCTTAAACTCCTCAGTCAGTGAACTCTCTCTACAGGTGTGTGTAAAATAGAAAAGTTCTCAGTTACACTGCAAGCTGTAACTGTGTTTCAGGCATTTCCACCAGCGCCTCCGTCAGTTCCACGAGGAACGGGATGGAGCAGACTTGTCTCCGGTGGAGTGGACTGAAAACTGGGGTATTACCTTATCATCCCTGCCGCAGCCTTTCTCTTTTTCCCCTTTGACAGTGAAGTTTCCACCGGCTGACGCGCAGAGACTGCAAGTGAGGGTGCCTCGTGTGGCGCTCTGTCCATATATGGTCATCTACGTCACACAAATGTTCCATCCCCCTATTTAATACAGACACACTGGAGTCCCCTCTCCAGCTCCAATAGAGCAAGTGGGGCCGCTCTTTTGCAACCAACGCCACCACTACCACCTCCTTCTCCTTCTCCTCCTCCTCCTCCTCCTTTTTTGATTCACAGACTTCAAATTCCCTCACAAGCAGCTCATCAGCTTCCACAGTGATCACATTAATAACAACTCTACTCTGCCTGAGAGCGATCACCCAAGGAGGACACAGAGAAGAACCAGCGCAGCGCGGCGCGTCCTCGGCGGGATACCTGGTCAGGTCCATCCACTCCTGCTCCACTGACGCCTCATCTACACCTGCAGCTGTGTTTTGTTTTTGTTTGTTTGTTTTAACTCAACTTTTTTGGCTGGAACTTCTTGGGTAACCGGCGCCGCGTCCTTCATAAATGTCGTACTGAATATTAACTGCTATGACAGGGAAACTAGCGGAAAAGCTCCCTCTTACCATGAGCAGTTTAATAAACACGATCCCTGACAGTCTGTACCCGGAGGAGGACATCCCGACATCTATGAATATTTTCACCAATACGGAATCTATTAACCACTATTCACAGATGAATACAGGTAAGGCTCTCTCTCACACACACGCATCTTCCACCGTCAAGCGCGTCTAAGTGTTTTGTGCGCGGAAGGCAACAGTTGGAGCCGCGGGTACAGGCACCTGTTTGCGCTCTCTGGCTGTTGCGCACAAAAAACATCTGCCGATCTGAACACTTTTTCTGAGTCTGGTTTAAAACCCGTGACCGTCAGTGCATTCCAATTTTGTTTAAAGAGTAAAACGTATTTAATATGTGTGTTCTTCCGGGCTGTTAGTGTCATTTTTCTGTACTCCCGTTACCGAAAATGTCCGCTTTTCAAACGTATCATCATTAAACATGGAAACACGCTCTATTAAATTGAAATCTATTAATGGAAAAGATTGGAAAATAAATAGTTCCTATCATGGGGTATTACACTTAGGGAGCTTGTGGTGAGGTTAATTGGGAACATTGTTTGAGGAATAACGGGAGAATCTGGAAGGAGGAAAATTCAGTGTAAAACACGGCCTATTTAAAGAATTGTGGATCAGCGTCCAATTAAAAAGGTTAAAGAATACACGCCGTTATTTTATCTCATAAATGAATGACTATTTTAGACAATGACAATCTCTATCTCGTCAACATCAACTTCTGACTGTTTTTTGTTTGTTTGTTTGTTTTTGTTTTTTGTTTTGTTTTGTTTTGTTTTTGAGTTTTCATCTAAATGTCTGTGGCAGTTTTTATTCCAAATAAACATCCTAAGACGCCAGGGCCGTGGATCACCTTTTCAAAATAAGATAAATAAATAAATAAAAAGCGAGGCCGTGGATCTCTGTTGATTTGTAGTTTAATCCAGATTAACGTATATTTTTACTGTTTATGGATGCATCTGATTTATTTGTTGTTTCAATAATTTTATTAATAATTGTATACACACCTACCTCCGCAAAATGTGTTAAATGTTCAATATTCCTGAATAAAATCAACATCCGATTTAATTATATTTACATTTAGTTTCTTGGGTCTGACCTAGATCTTTTTTATTTGATTCCTAATAATTAAAACAGCATCTAGATTCGATTTATCTTTAATAATTCCCCCCTGATTCGACCTCAAAATATGTCCCAGGGCCAGGTGGTTAAATAATCATTTCTTCTTTATGTTCATATATATGGAAGGGAATTAAATATATTCAGCTTGACATATATGTGGCTTTTTTTACATAAATATATACATTACTTGATAACTTTCACGTTACAGTGGTCCCTATCTTTATGGCGGTTCTACTTTCGCTTCCTCAATACATCGCAGATTTTTTTTAATCCAATCTCGCTACATTAAAAATGTTTTAATTTCCAATATTTTAATTATTTCTGTTCCTGGTGAATTTATATTATGATCAAGATTTTTTAATATATTTGTAGACTAGGTTATTTTGTATTGGAGCGAGGAAATGTCAATTTGAACGTTTTAGTTAAAATCTGTGATTTATTTCTCTGGTGCAGCAGGTGTTGGAAAGGTTTCATCCCAATTGAGCATCCAGAATAAGATGGTGATCTTTTTATTCCGTGCCTTTAAGTCTGTGTATAAACTCAAAAAAAAAACATTAATATGAACTCTGACTTCTTTATGTCAAAATGTTGACGTTATGCACATAAACAAAATTATGTCATTGTGAATCACTGCTCATGTGACAATCACAATTGTGCAATACACATAATTTTGGTTGTGTTTGTTTCATTGTAATTTGCCTTTAGTTAAATTGTAGCAGGCTGTAATTACTGGGAGTCAATGGATGAGGACCTCAGCATATGATTTCCTGCGAATGGAAAAGAGTCGTCCGATCTCAGCTTGGGTTTTAAGGAGGAATTCTTTTCACATATGTCACATTTGAGTCTCCTGAGCCTGATCAGTCCCCATGTCCCTGTTTAATGCGTCCACATCTGACGTATCCAGGGGATTTGGGGAATCAGTCATGAATAATCTCTGTGTGTGTGTGTGTAAGACTGTAGTAAAAGAGTGTTTACAAATTAAATATCAAAGAATTTATGAAGCCAACTATTACAGAGATTGGCCTGACACTTGAATACCTTACCACACACACTCTTACACACTGCTAATGTGCTGATGCCCCTTTGCTGCAAATGTGTTTTGAATCCCTCTGTGTGATAGATGTGGTGTCTGCCTTATAATCCTCCCTGCTGTAAAGAAATCAGATCTTGCCATTCAGTTTGGCTGTCCTCCTGAGGGACACAATGACTGGATCGAAGGGGGTGTTTAAGTCTTGATTTATGAGAGCCTGTGGGATCTCAGAGAGAGAGAGAGAGAGAGAAAGGGGGAGAGAGAGAGAGACACTAGGAGAGAGAGGACGAAAGAGAAGAGGCAGCACCAACTCTGATGCAGCAGTCACTCACTTATCTTAAGGGTCTGACAGCACTTACGTTTCTTCATAAACTGCCTTAGACTCTTTAACAACTTTGGACCTTCTTTTGCACCTACAGAAAAATGCAGCAAACAAAAAGGCTAAATCTTTGCAAAAGAACTTCTACTTTCTGTAGCCTAACATAAGTTTTGTTTTTGTTTTTTTACCTTTTTCAGATAAAGCACGTGGATGATTTGTTCATATACGTTTTGTGTGCTTTTTGTAGATAATATTATGGACCTGGGCATGGGGAGCGAGAAGATACCTTCAGAGATCCAGTATGGTTCCGGCTTTCAGTCCAACCGCAGTGGGCAGACTGTCACCTACCTGGGGAAGTTTGCCTTTGACACTCCTCCATCAGGTGGCATAGGAGGTTCAGGCTGGTGCTCTGATAATAACATTATCAGTCTGGTCAGCGCCGGGATCCTGGGGGTATCTCCATCACCTGGCACGGTTACAGCGCAGACATCATCCTCTGCAGCCAGCATGGGTGGACAAACGTCTGACATGGAGCAGGTTTATGGTCCACCACTACCTGCTTACTCCACCTGCAGTGACCTCTACCAGGACCAGGTCTCCTTTCACCACAGCCCCGCCACCAGCACAGCTCTACCCTACCCTGGCAATGACTATCACTCCACATCCAAAGGCTCCATGGATGGAAGTCTTTTCTCCATGATCCCTGACTACAACCTTTTCCACCATCAGGGTGATGTTGGCGTGATGGAACACAAGCCCTTTCAGACCATGGACCCTATCCGGGTCAACCCTCCGCCCATCACACCACTGGAGACCATCAGGGCGTTTAAAGACAAGCAGCAAATTCACCCAGGTTTCATCGGTGGACAGCAGCACCCTCCTCAGCACCACCCACCGCCACAGACTCTCACCCTAAAACCCACCCGGCCGAGGAAGGAC